TCTCTGAAATATGACCAATAGTTTCGTTGTGCCCTCTCTGGAAGGTGAAATGCATTGTAGAGAGTTACAGCTCTCTCTCTCTCTCTCTCTCTCTCTCTCTCTCTCTCTCTCTCTCTCTCTCTCTCTCTCTCTCTCTCTCTCTCTCTCTCTCTCTCTCTCTCTCTCTCTCTCTCTCTCTCTCTCTCCCTGTCCTTTCAGGTGTTATTTCATAACCTCGGTATCGGACATTGGTAATTTCAAACTAGTTCAGATTATGTTATTGTCTTGTGACAACGACTTAAAATGCACGCTCAGCAAAAATAAATGGAATTTTGTTCGTCTCCAACGCGACAGGATAGACATGGAAAAATATTGTTCCATAATTAGATGGTTCAACTTGTTTATAAAGATGTCACTCAATCTTAAAACTCTACTGCCTTTTGAGGTTTTCAAAGAATTTTCGAGGAAGAGGGACGCCTCGCTCCATAGCTCTCTGCAGTCGACACACGACACACAGTCTTAACCAACCCCAACCCCACACCCCCCAAAAAAGAATAAAAAAGAAAACAATGAAAGCTCCAAGAAATTGAGTTGAGCTTTTTTTCAAGGATTAGTTGTTTTTTTCAATGATGAGTTTTTTCCAAGGATTAGTTTTTTTTTCAAGGATTAGCCATGCTATTGTACAATCGACTTGTCGTGGATGTTCGAGGAAGTTCAGTTTAATTGACTTTTTGGGGGCTCTTTTTTATCAAGAGGACGTTGGTGAATCGTCCACATTTTTTTCTTAAAGTATTGTTTAACATTTCAATTTTACTTTAAAAAGTCGTTTCGACTTTTATTCTTTGCTTCTGAAGACAAAAGATTGTTTCTACTATTGTTTCTACTCAAAATGAAGTTTGTTTCCAATGCTGGAAATGTCCCTACTTCTGAGCACCAGGATTCCTCAAATCGAAACTGTAACTGAAAGTGCAAAAAGAGCATTTGCCGGAGAACGTTGTATGCAGGAAAACTTGTAAGATCATTTTTTTTTAAATCAAAGAAAAAAAACAATAAATAATGTGTCTATGTGTGTGGGGGGAGGGAGGGGGAGGGGAGGGGGTGATGACAAACATGAAATGGCTGGAGACAAATTCGGTGTCTCGTATGTAACAACATATATTCATATAATGAGATGAAGACAGTATAGTAGGCAGGTCTAAATGTATGCTTAAACTGAGAGTGTGGGAAAGACAAAAAGAGCAAATAGTAGTAATTAATGCTTTTACCTTTTGGCTTTACATAACGTTTCTTCCCTCTCCCACCCTCCACTTACTGGCCACCCTAAAAGTGCATTTTGGCCATGTGACGAATTTCAGTTACTTTCTCCCCTTGTAGTCGATACGTATTTCTATAACTAGTACTTCTATACTTTCGCTTTACAAAAAAGTCAATGTATTGACAAAGAAAAGAGCACACTAGAAAACACACTGTGACTTCGACCCTCCCCTCTCCCTTCTGTTTACCTCTCATTGACAACCCTCATAAGAACTCCTTAGTTGTTGTTTTTTGTTGTTGTAAGGTTTTATGGATCATGAAACTCTGCCCATTTATAAAGATGCCCAAGAGTAGAGTGACGAGTGAATCATGATAAAGAAATAAGAACATAAGTACACCAGCTCAACATCCTTCTCACCTTTAATTGAAAGTCATACAAAGAGATGATCACACTGTTCACAGAACTCCTCCACCAACACTTCTTTATTAAGTGAGTAGCATTATCTTTTTTATTTTGTATAGGCCACAGCACTGCTAAATAGTAGTCGATATGGGCTGAAAATTTCAACATCGATACCACTGGGTAGAAATTATATTGATCCTGCACCTCGATATTTTCTGGGAAAAACGTTGACCTCCCATAATGAGTAAGGTATCTGAATTATAATAATAACTTTGCATTCCATTTTTTAAATTTTTACAGGTTTTCGTAAAGATGTTGCTAGTGGATAAAGTTTAATCAGTTTAAATTGTTAGAAAGGTTGGCTATCCTACTCAGAATGTATTGTAAAAGGGACCGACAGTTTTGTTTTGTCTTCACAGCACACTGCAAGGCAAACCTCTTCTCTCCTCAAATATTCAGTACGTCTTCTGACTGGTAGAGACGAAAACGTGTAGTTTCCATGGCCCGGGGTAGAATGCCCTAGAAGAACGTACCTGTTTTGCTTGTTTTTCTAAGGGGGGGGGGGGGGTGGTTTTGTTTTGTTTTTTAAATTGTAAAACGACTCGCTTCTGAGACAAAACTCTTTATTGCTATCCACACCTCGAAGACCTGAATGGAACAAGAGACATAAAAGCTTTCCTAGACAAAGGGCACTTCAGAAATGGCGGGAGCTCATCATTTACTCCAGAGTACTCAACCATCCTTGAAACGGCACTCAACGCTTTCCGGGTTCAGAGCCAAATGGCTCCATCTGACGTGCTTTATTTTTGGCGATCGAACCTTTTGGCTGGGAAATAGTTAGTGTTTTGCTTTCTTTGGTCTTCTCGCTTCTTTGATTTCACCTTTCAGTTTGTTCTGAGCGTAGCATCCAGTTCGATATTTACTCCCTGCTAAGGCAGGCCTCATTGCAGGCAATGAGCCTTACTGCTTAACTGCTTTGTTTCCTATCTCCTGTTTGTTACCTTAAAGGAAGGACTGTAGCTAAGCTCTAGGGGACCTCATAGATAATTAACAAAAGAAATCTTTTACACATTTGTTATCGCTGAGTTTACGGCCTGGTCGAGCACCACCACACGCAGTACCTGGATTTCAATATCTGTGAGGAAAGACAAACAGTTTCACGTGACATTCAATTGGCCCGTAGACCCCCCCCCCCCCTCGTTTCCTCTCTTTTTGTCTCTTTTCTCCATCAACAGCATCTATTCACTTCCCGTTGTATTTGCCAGACGTAAAACGTTTGCTTTACCCTGAATAATATATCCGTTCTAAAAGTAGAAAGGTGTCTGTTTATCTCCTTTTTTGAGACATAACAGTTGCTTTTTTTCATGTGTTTAATGAAGATTCTCTTTTCTGCCTTAATTAAAAATGGCTTTGCTTTGAATATACCATAGATGACTCTTGATACACTTTAAAGAAACTGAAAAAAACAAAAATGCATTCACTTCTTTTGCTGTCAACAAAATATTCGGAAATAAAATGCACACCAATAAATGACACATATCTTAAGACCAAAAATGATTAAGTCAGCACCAGCCCCCCCCC